TGTCAAGTGACAAGTGATAGGTGACAACTGACAAGTAACAAATGATAGGTGCCAAGTGAGAGGTGTCAAGTGACAAGTGATAGGTGACAACTGACAAGTAACAAATGATAGGTGCCAAGTGACAAGTGACAGGTGACAGGTGACACTGACCTCCCTCTTGTTGTGCAGCAGCTGGTCGGCGAGGCGCTTGTCGTGCGCCGCCGCCGCCACCACGGCCGCCGCGGCCGCCGCGCGCGCGCTGAACGCCTGCAGCGCGCTCGCTCGCTCCAGGAAGTTAGCCTCGCGGTTCGGACTGCCTGCGTGTACAATCGGGGTATTTGTCGGTGCACTATTTACAGGAAAGAGATAGACTATGTCTCTTTGATTATTATAAAGTGTTTGTGTTTCGCATATCAATACTAGCTGTTCCCGTGCGGCTTGTCCGACATAAAAATAGTATTTTAATCTTTATTATATGTATTTCGTAAAACTTTAAATTGCAAGTTCAAAATTTAAATGCACAAATGACAACGAAGGCTGTTGACATTGGATAACAATTACCGTTACCATGGCAATCTTACTTTTTTGATACTATTTGCAGTATTGTAGTTTTGTCCCTTCCCCCCAGACGGTTTTTACAATTTATTTACCCCCTAAGTTTAATAGCGAGAAAATATATAGCCTAAAGCGTGTCGTAAGAGTAGGGCTTTTTATTAATTAATGTATTATTAAAAAATATGCAATGATTGCTGACATCATACGCCACAAAGAAGTGTGTATTTACGCTTTATTGTTCTAGTAAAGATAATATTAGTATAGAAGTACAGATGCTGTGATTGCTGACATCTATACTATTATAATAAAGCGTAAACACACACTTCTTTGTTGCCTAAGATGTCAGTAATTACACCATATTTTTGGATAATTCTTCTTTTAATAAAAAGCACTACACATACGTCAGTCTTTAGGCTATATATTTTCACGCCATTAAACTTAAGGGGTAAATATTTTGGATAAACACTCTCATGTGGGAAAGAGACCATAAGTTGATCCAACATCAAGGAAGCAAGGTTGCCATGCTTTGTCATGTCATGTCATTTTGACATTTGCAATTGATAATTTGACACATGTAAACATTATTATAAAATCTTCATAATTTTATGCGGATGAAGTCGCAAGGGAACAGTAGATACATAACTAAGTATTGTGTTTACGCTTTATTATATCAAGTATAGATTATCTATAGTTATAGATGAATATATAAACTTTTTTAAAGTACCCTCAGGTGCATTAACGGCATCAGCGAAGTGTCTGAGCGGCGCCGCGACGTCGATAAAGTCCTCAACGACGCGGTTGACTACCGCACGCTCCATGCAACGCTTCAACTCGTGCAACTTATCTGAAAGCTCCCTGAAGAAAGATTTATTACTTAGCGGTCCCTTAGTGATGATATCTCATAGTATGTAATAGTAAAATACTTATTTTATAAGGATTGATGGATTAAATTTTACAGTTATTGTCTTACTGGTGGTTTAATAGATTGGTCCTTCGAGCGGGATAATTATAATTTTACGTACTTTTTATTTGTTTTGCTCGCGAATTCGCACGCGTAAAATTAAAAAATAACAAACTATAGCTTATGTTACTGATAACGTAGCTTTTAATGGTAAAAGAATTTAAGCCCAGTAGTTTTTGAGTTTTTTCAATACATACAAAAATACAAATCCTTTCTTTTTATAAGATTAGTAAAGAGTAAGAGACTTATATGAATATTGAAGGACTAAATGTAACAATTATTGTTACTGATGTTTTAATAGATTGGTCCTTCGAGCACGATATGTACGTTTTATTTGTACTAGAAAAAAATTATAAGTTCTAAGTTTTCTTTCCAACCTGGTGATGGCCCTGGCCTCCTCGGAGTGTCCCTGTCCGCTGGCGCACAAGTCCGCGAGCTTGTCCGCGAGCCGCTGCACGTCGCCGCACTGCTGCAGCACCTCCGCCTTCTCGCGACCCTGGAGACCTTCCGCGATCTGATACACAGGATGCTTAGAGTTACAGGATGTTTAAAAAATTATATAGAATAGTTTAAGGTTAACGCTTGGTATTGTAAGTAGCGTTTTTAAAAAATATTGTTAAGTAATAATAAAAAAGGATTTCAAATTTTATCTTTCTGATCATTTTAGTATTCTAAAAAGATGGTTTTGAAAGAAATGGGAGTTAAAAATTTATTACGGGCTATTATTAAATGAATTAACGATTGCTTAAGAAATATTTGGATTTTTAAAAGCCAGTATCGCGTATTGCAAGATTTCTCAATTTTTAATTGTTGTTTTCAAGCCAATTTATATAAGTACTACCATTTTAAAATAAAATAAATAAAATCCCCTTTATTGTCATCATAATCATTTACATGCAGTGAATATATTATATTAAAAAAAAATATATGATAACAATGGGCTGCAGGCTCAGCATGTACCGTATGGCCAATGCCATGCGGAGCTGATTTTCAGCCTGTCCCTGTTGGCCGCGTT